TGGCAATACTTGCAAAATACTGTCACCTACCTGGTGACCTATAAACTCTAAATTAGTAAAACCAAAGAAACACTTTGAAGGTCTTGCGGTTAATCCCGCCTTCTTTAACCGAGCCAAAACGTCCTGTACAATCAGTACATGCTCCTCCCAAGATTTTGAATATCAAATAAATTCTCAACTTTACCTTCAAGACCTACCAACAAAATACGCATCATACGTAAAAAAAAGCTGGTGCATTCACAAGCCTGAAAGGCATGCGTCGAAACTGAAATAAACCATCAGGTGCGAGAAAGGCTGTCTTTTATTTAGCCCCATCACTCATGGGGATCTGCCAGTACCCCTTGGTTAGTTTGTGAAGTCAATGCATAACCTAACATCCCCTCCTTTCTTATTTACCAAAACAATAGGGGAGGCATAAGGTGAATTTGATGGTTCAATTACACCCATCTTTAACATACTCCTAACCTCTGACCTCACTATATCTGTCATAGCGAATTGTAAAGGATATGGTTTTGACCTAACTGGTTCAGATGTTACCAATAATATCATGCTAACCAATTTTAGTCTTTCCAGGACAATCAGTGATAACATCAGAAAATTCCCTCACGCCTCCATCAATCTCTCTATGTTCGGCATTCAACTCATGACCAACATGACAATCAACGATTGTTTCCTTACACTGAATTGGCACAGACTCCAATTCACCACTTTCACGCAGTATTGTGTCACTGTCAGTAGTATCATATTCAACAACTACAGTGCACATACAGTTCATCACACCTGTAACCACTAAATTGTCATACCGTTCCATGTCTCTTTCATAATACGCTTTCAACAAGTTAGCATGATACATTTTCACCTTGCCTTTCACATCCATTCTGTAATCCATCATACCTATTCTCTCCTTAATTACATATGGCCCCTGCCATTGTATCAACAACTTATTGTGGTCAGTGGGAAGTAACACTAACACTTTGTCACCAGGTTGGAACTTCCTATCCCTGGCCTTCCTATCATAATACTTTTTGTATCTAACCTTTGCCTTAGCTAACTCAGCTTGAGCCAATTTACATGTCTCTTCAATGCGATTTCGCAAATCCAGGACATACTGGTATGTAGTTTTAACCTCTGGCGTAGTGGCCTCTTTTGTCCACAACTCTCTTAAAATCATCATTGGGCCCCTCATTGTTCTGCCATAAATAAGATTGAAGGATGAAAACTCTAAACTCTCCCTAGGAGCGTCTCTATAGACACACAGCACCGGGTCAAGATACCTATCCCAATCGATGGGCCATTCTTGAAACATGCGTTTCAACATAATTTTCAAAGTAGCATTAAACCGCTCAACCAAACCATTACATGCCAGGCGATATGGAGTAATTGTTTAATAGACAACACTCTACTCACTTCCTTCATAATGTCAGATACAAACTGTGTCCCTAAATCAGTTAAACCTTTTTTGGGTACACCAACCCTACTATATATACTGACTAATGCATCAGCAACCAATTCAGAAGTAATTTTTTTAACGATACAGCAACAGGGTATCGTGAAGCATAGTCTACAACAGTTAAAATGTACCTATGACCTCTCTCAGTTGCTGGACTGATCGGACCAATCAGATCCATAGCGATCATTTGAAATGGAACTTCAATCAAGGGCATATCACCAAATGGTACGTGAACTTGCTAACACGACCCCTAGAAGTAATTGAAAAAAGAGTGTTTGGCAGTGATTTTGGCATTGCATAAATGTCACCAATATTTATATGGTAAAGAATTTATTTTGGAGACTGATCACCAGTCACATTCTGATTGGCTCATGTGGAAACCCAGGTGGTGTCACTGAATCTGGGCCATTCATGCCTATAAATTGGACAGACTGAGGACAGTTGGGGACCATCATTTCTACTGTGTATCCTGTGTGTAGCTACTGCGATATTGTGAATTGAGTGATACAGGCTTCAACCATCATCCTGTGAGACTTGTATGAACTCCTGGTATGAACTGCTCTGCGATCTCCTGCTTTCAGT